AGACACAGTGAAGAAGGAACAAATTCCCAGAGGCAGCAGAAGCTGAGGATTGCTGTTCCTAGGAAGCTTATCACTGTCAGGGGCCTGGGGGACAGAGAGGGAGGAAAGTGACGCTCTGGGGTCTGGGCTTGGAGTGTTTCCTATAGGAAACTGCCGTTATCAATATTGTAAATCACAATGCCTTAAAAAGAGAAGTTGGCAGCAATGAACACAGGGATGCAGATGTCTTTTCTGAGTCGACTTTGTCGATCCTTCTATGGTGGAGCAGACTACCAGAGGCAGCAGAGACTGTGAGCTGGGAGCTGGTCCTCAGCAGGAAGCTTACCCAGGGTTGGAGAGGGTGGACGAGGACCCCTGGGACATTGTGGCAGGGATTGAACACTTGGGTCTGGGCTGTGGCCCCCGAGTAGCTCATATGCGAAAGCCCGCGAGTACCAAACCCATGGCACCCAAAGTAACAGGAGGGCTGCTCATGGCATAAATCCGTGTCTTTGATATCCTTCCCGCAGACAAGAGTAGCCTGAAGCAGGGAAGCTTAGGGTCAGCCGGGCCCGTGATGTGCTGGACCCAGGACAGTCACTGGATTGGACCTGCCAGTGCCATCTGCATGGTTGGGGGGGGGGTGGCGCTGTAAGATGCTGTCAGCTCAGGATGACGCCCTCCTCATTCCCGTCACCCTAACTCGGCCAGCCTTCTCCACTCTAAACCACTGCATCAAAGGAACAATGCAGTGCACCCACCACCCCCTGCCACTCCAGGGAAATGCAAGGCGGGGAGGTGCCCTCCCATGCTGTGACTGGGGCGCCCTCTGCTGGGATGAGGTGTCTCTACACCAGGTGGTGGTTGGCGTCCAGTGGGTGTGAGAGCACAGACTACTGGCATCAGCCAGATTCATGCTCAGCTCCGGGTTCTAAATTCTGAGACAAGATACTCAAGACTCCTCAGCATCCGTCCCCTAAACTTACTGACACGGATGGGAAGAAGCAATAAAGGTGGAGCTGCCTGTGGGCACTCAGGAGGTCGCCCTGCTTGCAGCTGTTATCAGGGGCTTTGATTATTGGCTTAGCCTGGGCAGTGCGAACCCCGGTCTCTTGTGAGTTCTTACATGTGAAACTCCAGGGTCATAAATCTTACATTCCTGACCACGCCCACCCGCGCCTGCACTCATGCCTTTACCCTTACTGCCTCCCTGCCCCCCTCCCCCCGCCCCCCCCCCCCCCCCCCCCCAGCCCTATGTTCTCCCTGTAATGCCATACACAGTTCCAGGGGGTCCTGCCTCTCCATGCCTCTGGTCCTAAGCGCACAAGCACACAGTTCGAGTCTAATCCTGCAGTTCCCATGTGTCCCAAGTCAGACACTCACATTGCACTGTTGAAGATGGGGAGCCTTTGAGAGTCTTTGGGGTCCAGGAGCCGCATTGTGCTGAGTTTTGTTTGCGTTTTTTTTGACAAACTTGGCAGTACTCAGGACTGACCCTTGACTCTCTGCTCAGAGGTCACTCCTGGTGGTGCTCATGTGGGGTGCTGGGGGCCGAATCCAGGGGGCCATGTGGGGTGCTGGGGGCTGAATCCAGGTCTGCTGCACGCAAGGCCAGCGCTTTTTTCGCTGAACATAGAGAAGTTGGCAGGAGGAGACAGTTTAGGTACAGACACCTTTCCGGCTAGAATTCAGATCACTTTTGAATCTCTTGGGAGACGGAGAAGTATGTCTTGACCGGACATTCCTGCTAAGGGGTAGTATGTGACTTGTCCTCATTTTGTTTTTTCTGGGGATCTGAAATGGTAAGTGGCTTTTGTAACTGTTTAAGATCTCCCCGCTGACTCAGCAGTGGGGGACGTGTCGAGGCGTTCAACCTCAGAAGGAGAAAGTGGGGCAGGGATGGCTCTGTGGAGTTTTAATCTACCCGTTTGGACACAGTTTTTTTAAATTTATATTTTTATTGAATATTTATAATTGAATCACCTTGAGATACAGTTATAAAGCTTCCATGATTGAGTTTCAGTCATACAATGATTGAACACACTTCCCTCCACCAGAGAGCACTTTTCGCCACGTATGTACCCTGTATCCCTTCTGCCACCCTCACTCCACCCCACCCCCTGCCTCTGTGGCAGGAACCTTCCTTCTTACTGTCTTTCTGCTTTGGGGCATTAGGGTTTGCAGTACGAGAGGCCATTGTGTTTGGTCTTTTATCTGCTTTCAGCACACATCTCTCACCCTGAGTGATCCCTCCAACCATCTTTGACTTAGTGGCCCCCTCTCTATCCCAACTGCCTTTTCCTTCAGCTCATGAGGCAGGCTTCCAAACCATGGAGCGATCCTCCTGTCCCTTGTCTCTACTGTCCTTAGGTGTGTTTCATATTATGTTATATTCCACAAACGATGCAGTCATTCTGTGTCTGTCCCTCTCTTTTGGACTCATTTCACTTAGCATGAAGTGTCAAGTACAGTCTTGTTGGATTGAAGGGAGGCTCAGAGGATGAGCACTAGATTTAGTTCTGCCGAGTCCCCTGAGCACTTTGCCTAGAATAGCCCCTGAGCATGCTGTGTGGCCTGAACCGGAAGTAAAAAGCAGTGGAAGGACTGTTAAAGCGGAAGGTCTCACGGAGCCCTGGCTGCTTCTCCTTGGGGCTGAAGCCTGGTCGTTGTTGCAGTGATGGGGGCAGGACAGAGTACCCCTCGGTTGTGGCTCTCCCATCCCAGCAGCCACCCACCCCACAGAGCAGAGGTGCTTGGACTTGGTGCATGTGGGTGGCACTGGGATCAAACTCTGGGCCTGAGGCTAGTCCTGCCAAGGTGCATTCAGCACGAAGCTGATGCTGACCCCTGGGCATCTCTCCTGACAGACAGCCCCATTTATGTAAGCTGTGGTACTTAGCAGGAGGGGGTCTGTGCTGTAGCTAAAACTGGCACTGCTGGGGGCATTTGGGTGGTTCCAGTGCGGGGGTGGGGCGGGGAGAGATATGGCGTCAGTGTGTCCTCAGGCTGAGCTGGCAAAACCTGCTTAGAACCCCAGACACGGAACAAGGTACAGCAAGGTAGGCATTTGCCTTGCATGCAGCTGACCTGGGTTCAATCCCCGACATCCCATATGGTCCTCCTGAGCACTGCCAGGAGAAATTCCTGAGTACAGAGCCAGGAGTAACTTCTGAGAATCACTGGGTGTGACCCCCCCCCCCGCCCCAAAAAAACCCTGCTCACAACAGGTTGATCCTGTGACTTAGTTTCTTAAATTTCTCCAACCTTGACACATACACACACAGACACACAGACACACAGACACACACACACACACACACACACACAGCAATTGGCCCTTGTGTCTCATGCACTGATGCCACTGATGCTACAGTCCCCCCCCCCCGAAATCTCCCGGGGGGCTGTTCTCTGTTTTTTTTAACTTTTTAATTGAATCACTGTGAGAGAGACCCTTACAAAGCTGTTCATGATTGGATTTCAGTCACACAGTAGTTTAACACCCATCCCTCAGCCAGTGTACATTTCCCAGCACCCGTGTCCCCAGGTTCCCTCCCCTCACCCCACCTGCCTCTCTGCCTGCCTCTATGACAGGTGCCTTTTCTCTCTCTCTCTCTCCCCCGCTCCCCACTTTTGGGCATTGCGGTTTGCAATATTGATACTGAAAGTTTATCAAGAAAATCCCTTTAGCTACTTTTAACCCTCAGATCTAGTCCGGCATGAATATTCCTGGCTATTATTGTCATACTGGTCTCTTCTCTATCTTACCTACCCTCAGCCCCACACACACACTTGTGGTTAGATACAGCCATTGACCGGTCCTCCTAATCCCTGCTTTCCCTGGCCATGGATATTATTAGTCTTCTACTATATATATTTTTATATCCCACAAATGAACGCGATCATTCTATGTCTGTCCCTCTCCTTCTGACTCAGTTCACTCAACATGATACTCTCCATGTCTATCCACTTATAGGCAAATTTCATTACTTCATTTTTTCCTAACAGCTGCATAGTATTCCATTGTGTAGATGTGCCATGATTTCTTTATCCATTCATCTGTGTGTTTTTGGGCCCCCAGGGTATATTCCCAGGAGAGGTGTAATGCTGGGTCAAATGGAAGCTCAGTTTCTAGTTTTTCTGAGAAAGGTCCGTATTTTCTAAAAAGGCTGGACCATTTGGCATTCTGGGGGTCCCTGTTTGAGAGTTGCTGGTCCAGTGGCTGTGTTAGAGAACCTGGCGGAGGGTGGGCCTGGGCAAGCCAACATGCTGCTCTGAGGACCCAGGTTGTTGGGCCGTCTGCGTGTGTGGGGGCAGTTCAGACCCATCCGGGACCATGTCCAGGAGAAGCTGGCTGTAGTCCTGGCATGTCCTGATGGACCCCGCATACCCACCACTCTGCTCCAAAGCTGGCCTCACCCGTGTACTGGGTCTTCGGGGCAGAGCTGAGCCGCTGCTTCAGAGGGACTGTCCCCCTTTCCCTGGCAGCTCAGGGAAGCCTCTCCTTGGATTCTTCCAGAACAGTGCTGTTTAACTGTATTTTGTTTTTCCTGGTGTTCAAGGCTTATTCCTGGTTCTGTGCTCAGGCATCACTCCTGGTGGTGCTCAAGGGCCACAGGGAATGCTGGGAAGTGAACCTGGGTTGGATGTGTGCAAGGCAAACACCCTCCCTGCTGTCCTATGGCTCTGGCCCCTTGTGCTGTTTAACTTTAAAAGGGAATTTGAAAGGCAACTAACTTGAAAGGCAGTTCACTAGCCTGGACCCACACCCGAGGCTGCAGGTGGTGAATTAAATGAAACGCGGGCATTCAGGAGATTTAGTGAGACCCAGGAATCCAGTGAGACCCCCATGCTTCCTCTCCCTGCCTTGATGGGTCTTTGGCGATGGTGGGTGATTTGGAGACGGTGTTGGAGCTTGATGTTCTGTGGGGAATGAGAACATGTGCCTCGCTTCTGCTTGCGGTTTCCAAGCGCTCGCCCGCCCAGTGTAGCAGATCTCATCCTCCACCCTCTGCTTTGCCTAGGCCCTGGCACACCTGCACTTAATAGAGTACATTGGAGAGCAGACCGCGTTGCTAATAAAGGTACGTTCCATGCTGCGATGGGGGGAGATGGTGCTCCAGATGCTGCTTCTGTGATTTTGTTTAAAATATATATATATATATATATATGTAGGGGACTGGAGCAATAGTACAGTGGAGATGGCGCTTGCCTTGTATGCAGCCAACCCGGTTTGATCTCCAGCATCCTGTATGGTCTCTTGCGCTCTGCCGGGAGTAGCCCCTGAGCATCACCAGGTGTACCCCCAATCCCCCCGCCCCAAGCCACAGGAAGATCTGGAGGGGCTTATGCCTGGAAGTGAGAGGGGAAACAGGAAGCACCCCCAGGCCTGCCTTCACCCCATCTGCCAGGTTTATGTTATTTTTTTATGGAATGCTCAAGGCTTACTCGGCCTCTGTACGGGTCACTCCTGGCAACTTATATAAAAGAAGCCCCTTGGGGAAGCTGTTTCATTCTGAGCCCTGAGATGCTGGACGCTGCCCAGACACAGAGCCGGTCCAGCAGGGCAGCTGCCCACAGGTTCATATGGCCACCGTCCACCCTGGATCCAATTAAGGCAGTGTCCTGTGCTGTGCTGCCCAGGCTGGGTGGGTCAGGTGTGTCCTCTCCCGGCAAGCCTCTGCCCTTGGCTAGGGGAGTGAGAACCATAGCCTGTGGCCACTGCTCTGTCCCAGACCTGTGTCCTCCTGCTACCCCTGTGCAGCTGGGTACACAGCGTTGCTGTGTCTGCCTTTTCCAGATGGTTCCGGAGGGTCAGCGTCTGGCCGCTGCCATCGTTCTGGTGGTCTGGGTGTCTGCCATCGCCTCGTCCCTGATTGACAACATCCCCTTCACTGCCACCATGGTGAGTCATGTGTCACCTTGGGGGAGGAGGGGATGTCACTGGGCCAGAGGTAGTAACTGCGAAATCCAGCCCATCGCAAGGACAGGTGGACAGGGCTGGTCCGAGCTGATGTGTCATTTCAGGATACTCAGTTTCTCCTTATGGAAAAAACAGCCTTTGACTGTTGTTGTTATTAATATGTTGCAAGATGCTGAGAGTTGGAGTCAGGCTGGTGCTCCTGCCATTCCCTGGGAACCCCAGCCCGTGTGGGTACAGGGCTGGTCTGGGCTTGGAGCCCCTGCCACTTGGCCAGTCAGCCCCGCAGAGATTGTCTCAGGGTGAGGCCCCCATCGCCCGATGCTCTGCTGCATCTCCTGCTCCTCCATTGCAGAGAACTTATACCAGGCTTAGAGTGATAGCACAGCAGATTGGCACCTACCTGCACTTAGCTGACCTAGGTCTGATCCCTGACACCCCCTAGGCTCCTCGAGCCCACCAGGATTGAGCCCTGAGCACTGCCAGTGTGGCCCCAAGCCCCGTATCCCCGAAAGAAAAGAAAGTGCCTGGTGGGGTTTCAGTGCCGAACCTCGGGCACTGGTGGCAGCACCCCCTGCTGTCCCCTGCAGGTCCCGGTGCTCCTGTCCCTGAGCCGAGACCCTGAAGTCAGCCTGCCTGCGCCCCCACTCATGTACGCCCTGGCCATGGGCGCCTGCCTGGGAGGTAAGGGGATGCTGGTGTGGGCGTCAGGGGCAGCAGGAGGGCCTGAGGGTGATTTTCTGGTGGAAACCAGCCTTGGCGTTGGTCTTGGGACTACACCGGAGCGTCCACAGGGATCACTGCTGGTGGGGCCCAGGGACCCAGGGGCCCAGGTAAAGCTGGGGACTGATCTCAGGCTTCCTGCATGCAGGGCAGGTGCCTTCAGCTCTGTGCACTCTCGAGCCCATGCAAATGGTCTACCATCTGGGAAACAGAGATGGGGTGTGATTCGCCAGGCAGTTTGAAGCAGACAGACAGCGTTCCGCTGATCCCACCACCCTTTGGTTTGCCTCTTCACCAGGAGCGACACCCAAAGCTGCCTTAAGAACCCTCTGCCTTGGTCTGGGTTTTCTGGATGCAGCAGATGCCAGAAGGCTGCAGGCTAATGCTTTATTAGGATGGGCACGCTGTGGGCGGAAGTGAGGGCAGGGGTGGAGGTGAGCATGGCAGGGATGGAAGTGAGGGCCAGCGAGAAGGACTCCGTGGCTGTGGTGCGTTTCCAGGCTAGCAGCAAAAAGCAAAGCCCATTTGTGGTCAGTTAGAGCCTTTTCTAAACATACCATCTCTCTGTCCCCCCTCACTAGTTTCTATTTTCATTTTTGGGCCCCACCTGGCAGTGCTCAGGGTTTACTCCTGACTCTGCTCAGAGGTTACTCTTGGGGGGGTTGGGGGGCCCTTTGGAGTGCCAGGACTGGACCAGGCTGGTGGCAATCTCTCTGCATCTGTTTTTTTTTCTTTTTGGGTCACACCCAACGATGCACAGGGGTTACTCCTGGCTCTGCACTCAGGAATTATTCCTGGCGGTGCTCAGGGGACCATATGGGATGCTGGGATTTGAACCTGGGTGGGCCGCATGCAAGGCAAATGCCCTACCCGCTATGCTATCGCTCCAGCCCTTCTGCATCTGGTTTTATCTGAGTGCTGTGTATGCCCAGCACTGCCCCATCAGTGGGAGGTGGCGTTCACCCCACCAGCACTGTGTGGGCCGCTGGAGAAGCCCCCGGCAGATGCTTCACAGGTGGCTGAAATGGAAGTGCCTGCAAGACACTGAGCAGTGACTCTGCCCCTCATGCCAGGAAACGGGACACTGATCGGCGCGTCGGCCAATGTGGTGTGTGCGGGCATCGCAGAGCAGCATGGCTACGGCTTCTCCTTCATGGAATTCTCCAGGTACTGGGAAGCTGGGCTCAGGCATTGTTGCAGAGTGTCTGATTTCTAAGGACTAAAGATGCCCAGAAGGGGAAGGTAGGAGCCTTCTACCCAGCTTCTAGTCCCAGCTGTGCCCGGCCCCAAGGTCGGCGTGTCCTTCCTCTGACTATTTAGGACCAGAGCCCTGAAAGTTTTAGCAGGGAGGAAGTGCTCAGCTGGCTCTGTGGGTGGAGAGCTAGAGGGACATGTGAACACAGTTTTGTTCCCGGCCTGGTCTGTTTCTCCTGAGTTTTTACCTCATCAGTGACAGATCTGGACATTTGGCTTACGAAGGATTTGGTTTTTTTTTTTTATTGAATCACGGTGAGATATAGTTACAAGCTTTCATGTTTGACTTGCAGTCACACAATGATCAAACGCCCATCCCTCCACCAGTGCACATTCCCCACCACCAATATACCCAGCATACCCCCCTTTCCCACCCTCCCACTGCCTCCATGGCAGACAAGATTCCCCATACTCTTTCTTTACTTTTGGGCATTATGGGTTGCAATGCAGATGCTGAGAGGTTATCATGTTTGGTCCTTATCTACTTTCAGCACACATCTCCCATCCCGACCGGTTCCTCGAACCATCATTTTCTTAGTGATCCCTTTTCTATTCCAGCTGCCTTCTCCCATGCTCATGAGGCAGGCTTCCAACTATGGGGCGATATTCCTGGCCCTTGTATCTACTGTCCTTGGGTGTCAGTTTTGTGTTATGTTATTTTATACTCCACAAATGAATGCAGTCTTGCGAAGGATGTGTGCTTAATATTGCTTAATAAAATATGTGAAATGTTTTACATGATCATCGGCTGGACTCAGAGGCCCAGTTCTGAAGGGGATGCTTAGTGTTGCACCTGCCTCAGCCCTGTGGGAAGACCCTCGTTCCATGCATGCCACTGGCTGGAGCTCTAAGAGAACGGTGCTGGGGCCTCCCCACCCTGGACCTCCACCCTCGAGCTATCCCTTCAGTTCTCTCGGCTGTGTGAAACCTCCAGAGGAAGCTCTTTTCTAGGGATTCCAGCCCATGCACTCTTATTAGAGACACGAACTCAAACAGACACAGTCCTGACTCGGGTGCAGCTGGGTGGAAGGCCGTGTGTGGGCAGTTCTCTCCCCAGACCCAGCAGGAAGTATTCCAGGGTGCATGTGTGAGCACACCATTCAAAAACGGGAGTTTTGCGACAAGGGTGCCAAGACCCCCACCAGAAGGGCTGGGGGTGCCTCTGCCTCTTAGCCACCTCGTTCGAAATATTCTCTGCTGCAAGGTGACTGCCTTGTTGGCTCCCAGTTCTCCTAATATATAGGTGTGTGTTTAAAAGGAAAACGTGCAGAGTAATAAAATACAAAGAACACTCATAACTTGGGTGCCTGGGAGTGGCCCTGGTCACAATGTCCTGCCTTGTCTTGTTGGTCTCTCCCTGTGAGATTTCTGCAAGCGATTTCTCTTTCAGAGGAGCAGAGACCTGCAAGAGCTCTGCCTTCTGTGCTGTCCCTCCTTCTCTCCTTACTGAGATGGGAAGCAGTTAACTGCAAACAGAGTCAGCTGATCTGGGCAGCTTGTGGGTCCAGCACGCTTTCTTCTTTTCCTGGTGTTTAGGTGCCCCCTGTTGCATGTAATAATAAGGGATGTGAAGACTGTCTTCATAGAACAACTTATATTTTAGTCCTGATGGCTGGAAATGAATTTTGGAAAGCACAGTTGCTGGGAAGGGACTGGAGCTTTAAGAATTCTAAGAATTTGGCTGCATGTTACATCCAGAAATACCTGCTCACCTCTCGGAGCTCACGAGTTCTATGGGCTGAATCTCTAGTTGGCTGTTTGCTGTTCCTTTACTGTATTTCTTTATATCCCACATAGAAGAGAATCTCCTTTCAGAATTTATTGTGGAGATTAGGATACTACAACACATATTGGTGATGAAAGCTAACCACTTACAATTCTACAAAATTGTAAATCAGTGATAAATTGATAATTTCCCCCCAAAACTACCTTTCTATTTTTATAGGTATATAAATGAAAAAAATAATAGCGTGACTAATTTTATGCTAATTTAAAATTCACATCACTTAATCACTTAGTCCCCGTTATTCATCGATTAATTCGAGCGGGTGCCAGTAACGTCTCCATTCATCCCGGTTGCGTGCTAGCGTAGCCCAATGGTATCTGTTCGTTTTAGGAACATGTAGAGCCTCAAACCGATCATTTAGGGTCTTGACGAAGAAGTCTGACCATCTTATAGGTGGGCGTCCACGTGATCTTTTGATGTCCCGTGGAATCCAATCAGTAAATGGCTCTAGTCCAGCGGTTGTCTGTAAACCTCATTACGTGTCCAGCCCATCTGATTTTTGATGTCTTGGCAAATGAGACAGCGTCCCTGATTCTTGAGCGTTGACGAAGATCAGAACTCCGGATTCTATCTCTCATTTGAGTGAATCGTGATATTCCAAGCATAGTTCTTTCGATTCCTCTTTGAGAGAACCGAATAGTGTTCTCATTCTGTTTTCGTAGGGTCCAGGTCTCTGAGGCATATGTTAATGCAGGAAGAATAGTGGAATCAAAGAGATGTGCTCGTAGCTGGAGGTTCTTTGTCCTTTTAGTTATTTCTTCAATGCTCTTGAAGGCATTCCAAGCCGCTCTCTTCCTCCTGCGCAACTCAGGTGCCAGGTCATTCATCATGTTGATTTCTCGACCTAGGTATATATAACTGTTGCATTCGGAGATGGTGGTTCCGTTGAGAGCGAATGGAGCGTCAGGAACAAGGCTGTTTCTCATAAACATTGTCTTCGCAAGATTCAGCTGTAGTCCGACCTTTCCACATTCACGGTCAAAGTCGTTCAGCATTTGTGCCGCTTGGTTGATGTTTGGTGTTATTAGAACGATGTCATCAGCAAAGCGGAGGTGGTGTAGTTGCCGACCATCTATCTTCACTCCCATGTTTTCCCATTCCAGTCGTCGCATGATGTTCTCGAGGGTGGCACTGAAGAGTTTTGGTGAAATGGTATCACCCTGCCGAACCCCTCTCTTGATATGGATGATTACTTCTTTGTAGAATGGTGAGATCTTGGTAGTGAATCCGCAGTAGAGCTCATGAAGGATCCTGATGTATTGAGTTTGTACGCCCTGATTGGCTAGGGCTTCCATGACCGCTTCCGTCTCAACAGAATCAAAGGCCTTCTTTAAATCAATGAACATTAGACAGAGTGGCATCTTGAACTCCCGAGATACCTCAATGAGCTTGGTTATTGTGTGGATATGGTTGATGGTACTGAATCCTTTTCGGAATCCAGCTTGTTCACATGGTTGTCCTTCATCTAGTGTTCATGATTCATTAATTCACATGAAGTAGATAAATCCTACAAATAAACAATTTAGTAAGAGTGAGGAGAAAAGAATTTAGAAAATTTTAAGGGAAAAATCTGAGTAAGTCTATAGAAGTATAAATTTGTGTTTCATCCTAATGGAATATTGCCTTTATGTTAGAAAATATCATATTATAATGTCTAAGTAAAAATTGTAATAAAAATCTTTATAGATATAATACAGCACCTGAAGAGACAAAGAACTTTTACTATAAATGAAACATTAATCCATTATTGTAAAAAGTACAAGCTCCCTTTCATTTTTCTGAAACATCATCTATGTTCATCTTCATTTCTGGCATGATGGTGTGAGTTTTCTCTTTATATACTTTTCCTTTTATTTCCTCTCATTTTGTCCTTTGCTATATTGAAAGTGCTTTATTTTGTTTTGTTTTGTTTTTAGTGCCAAAACCCAAGAATGGACCAGTTTTTTTCCCCTTTTTGTCTCAGTACTTACTAAGAGTATGAAATCCATTGCAGGCTATTGTAGTAGCTTTCTTTCTTCCTAGTTCATTTTTGAATCCCTGGAGAACCACTTTATCAGCTATGCTGTTTGGATTCTCATGATGAGAACTCATGTTTCTTGTAAGGATGAAATCTGCTCTCAGCCTTGCAGTTCACAGATGAGGCTGGCCACTGGGGCCAGCTGGAGCATTTCTTGTCCAAGAGCATCCTCTGAAGCTGGTGCAGTGGACTGTGATTATTTCATGGAGCCTTTATTTTCTGCTGATGGAGGCTATCTGTCAGCTGTCTGTCCCTTTTGTCTTTCTGTCTTCCATCTTGCATTCATCCCTCTTGCAGTCTCTCTTCTCCCTTGCACGCCTACCTTTCCTCTCCTTCCTGAGAAAGGATGTTTGCTAGCCAAGGCTGCCAGCTTTTACTCTCTGAACATTTGTTCCCTTTCCCTATGGTCCATCCTTTGGTGCAGGAGGATTAATTTCAATCCTCTCAGGCTTGGGTTAGATGGCCCAGGAAGATTGATTTCAGTGGTTTTACACTTGGGATTGGTTTTCGCTTTGTAATGGCTGTTTTTCGCTCAAGTCTTGGAGATTATTATCTTTTTCATGAAGTTTCATGTATCTTTCAGCTCTTAGGAAAGTCAGGAACAAGAGCGTGAGGGAGAGCTCTGTGGGAATTGGTGTTGATTTCTTTGCCACCAAGAGAAGTGCAGTTTTGTGCTTTCTGTATTCTGGTGATGTGGAAGGCATGGGGTGGATGTGGTTTTTTATTTTTGTTTTATATTGAACGGTTGAGTTTATTGAGAGCTGTGTGGAGAGATGGGAGTTTGATTGCATCCTTTCTTCAGTCCCTCAGAGCCGCCCTGTTCTCTCACTCCTCTCTCCTCAGGGATCCTCTGTGCTGAATGTGAGAGAGGGTTTGGCTTATTCTCTTTGGAAGGGATCATTTTATGAGTAGATATGAGTTGATTGTTTCATTTCCTGACATGGAATAAACTTTGTTCACCATGACACTGTTCTCCAAGACACTCCTCCATTGATAGATTCCTTCACAGACACCTGCTGTGGTCACTCTCCATGAGAGACGTCACCACAGACTCTTCTTCATGGACACTTCTCCACAGGCACTCCTCCATGAGAGACTTCTTCACAGGCA